TGAAATGTAGAAGCACTTCTATTACTTCAGTAGGTGAGTTTGATGCTTTTGTACAGAGTAGCTGCAGGGGCAATAATAAAAGAACCTCACAGAGGACAGAAATTATGTAGGTACAAGCCAAAAATGTGACTGGATCTGCATGAATTTAGAAAGTACTCTTGCTATAACAAGAAATTATGAAAGGATTAAAGAAAGATTACAAGAAAAAAAAAAACTGTGCCAAAGGGACAAAAAGGGAGAGCGGTGCCCTGTGCAGTCAAGGATGTTGACGGAGTAGGTTGGAGATGGGTGAGGTAGCAGGAGAGCTGCATTCTAGGTGGCATCGGGGAGTTGTGATCTGTGGAAATTAGTGAGGCAGAAGAAGATTCTGCAAGCTGAATAAGGCCAGCAAAATTCAAGGCACTTTTTGTTTTGTTATCTTTCGGATAGCGAAGCAAACTGATCTCTTACTGAATATTTCATCACAGTAAACGTTTTGCCTATATTTAAAGGAAGTGGCTTGCGGTGGCCACTGACTTTTGAGAAATAATTTGTCCAGATTCCGTTTTTCATAAAATGTTGGAATCTGGGTTTGATGTTGTTAAGTTTAGTATTACTGACTAGATATTACTGGGTAGTGTATTGGGATATCAGCTCAGGTATGACCTACTTGGTATTCGGCACCGCATTAACATGACAAGAGAGAGTCCTTGCTTTGAAGACCCTTGCTGTTTGTCATGGAAATGGCCTTGGGACAGGGAGAACATGGTAGTGTGGAACACAATGTGATGGCAGGAAACACAGCAAATCTCTTTCTAATGAGGTTTTGCATGCAAAGAGGTAAACAGGAATGCTTTGAAAGTGAATTAGTTAATCAGACAAAATAAGAAAGGGACAGAGAACACTGATAGTATAAATGGTTATCACTTCATATAGTTTTTTTTTTTCATAGAATAGATAACTTTCACAGAAAGATAAATAGGATAAGAATGGGATCAAAGACTTGTGTAAAGATTTCAATTTTATTTTTCTGCACATTGAATTGAACCCAATAACTCCTAATGGGCCTACCTAGGTGATGTTTAATTCTTTTCTTCTCAGAACTGGACTGTTGGGTGGTAGAACTATTTCTAGTTCTACCTAGTTCATTTGGCCTTAGCAATTGCAAACACAATGGGAATACATTATAGAGAAAAAGAAAATAGTGGTGTAATTCCTTCCTGATTGTTTTTAACGCTAGGATCTGTAGTGGTGGTGTTTCTAAATCACACCTGGATGGGCTATTGGAAATTTAAAGAAAGACTAGTAGGAAGAAATACAGAATTTTAAGTATACTTTTTTGTTGTTGTTTTAATGGAGAATACCGTTTATTCACAAAAGCTTAACAATAGGGTCAGGACTCTCTTGCTTCCCTGATATCATCACAGAAGCTAGAGAAGAATGTGGTATAACACCAGCCAGCTCTCATTACTGCTAGAGGAATGTGGTGTGATTAAACCTCTATACAGAAAGAACTGGAATGTAATTCTTACATGTTGATGTGCTTTGAACACATACCACATGCTGAGGAATGAGTTTCCAATATATTCTTCTGTTTCTAAAGATGGAAAGGACCTTGTCTCAAAACGCTAACTAAAAATATCCTTCTCTGAAAATGAGCACAATTTGGTTAAAGACATTTGTTCACATTTTCCAGTGCCCAAAATCTCTAAATCCTTTGAGAACTATCTTAATGCAAAGCCTTCTTTTTCTGCCTATTGGGAAATTCAGGAATCAAAGCTCTTTTTTTTCTTTTGTGCAGCCACAGAACAAAATAAGTTTTTGTAGTTCTAGATATTTTTTTGAAAGAAGTTTTATTAACATGATACTAATCACTACATTACATTGTGCTTTTGGAGTCTTCCTCAACCTCGCTAGAGTCCTAAAGATGATTGATCTTATCTTGCCCTTTATCTACATTTCCTGCAACACCTGAGACTGCATCTCTGTTGCTAACTCCTGGATCTCCCTCCCAAGTCCAGCAGTGAGGCTGCCTTGCAGAACAAGAGCTGCGGGGCGATGCAGGGCTCTCCCTTCCGGATCCGAGCTAGCTACCTCATCCTGAAAGGATTTGTTGCTCAATGATATCAGCCTCAAGTGAAGCACGGATCACTTGTCAGCAGTAAATGCTAATATTTGCTTGCTTACTTCACCAGATCAGCACTAGAAAGCATGAAATCTCTTCTCACTCTGGAAATGGTAATACCCCAAGACAAAACTTATGTAAATGCTTGGCTTCTACAAGCCAAACCAGGATCACTCATGCAGCTACTACCTTACTGTAAGGATATTTTGAGAACTCGAGGGATAGCACTGGCACAAGAAACTCTGGATCCTGAAAGATTTCCATTTGTGTGGAATTCTTTCATTACTTTCAGGTACTGTCAGTGTCTTTGGTCTCCCACGTGGCCTGCAGCTCTTGGCACTCTGCGATGCTTCCTGACCGCTGCTCAATGCAGGTTTTGCACAGGTTCAGATCTGCACTGAGCTTCTACTCTTAAATTCTCTTTAGCAATTTCACTCAGTGAAGGGGAAAATCAAATAGAAATATTGATTACCCTATAGAATTGTGAGAGATAATGGGACAGAAAAATCTTTAGAACATCCAGGCAATGTTCATAGCAATGCTCTTACAAAACCACAAAGAAAGAAAAGTGCATTTTGCACCTGATGTAGTTATCTGTCCAAGTGCAACCTGGTCTCATTTTACAGAGGACACAGTCCTGACCATTTTCTTGCAATTAATACATTTTATACAGTAACTCAAATGCATGAGTTGTCACTTAACACCCCAAGACTTGCACTATATATTCATTAAAATATGAGCAGCTTGTTCAAGAATCTTAGAATGTTATAGTCTGGTAAGTCGCATTCCAAAAAGTCTGCATGAGATTATATTATAGCATGTGACTTTTAAACAGCACTTTTAATAAAAAACATTAAAATGTTCACATAGTTACTGAGCAATCAAATGCTGTATTTAATCCCAATACTTTCTAAAAATGGCATTGCTATCTTTCATGCTTATTATCCATTAGAAAAAGATCATGTAGCATAGTAAGTTCTATGTTTAATCTAATCTATTTTTGTCAAATTAAATTATAATTGTTACATCCTGAGTCCAGAGTGCACTGCAAGACACTAGAAACAAATAATCATTACATGTTAGAAAAAATCTACTGTAGCCTAGAAATATGCGAAGCATGTGAAAAGTGGCTTCATATTTTGTTTTTCTATTCAGTGGCCAGGTAATGTTGCAATATTTGCAAAGCAGCTGCCATTTGCTTTATACAGTTGGTTTTACAAAAGCTTAATACCCTGGCTGCATGAATATGCAAGAGATTGAAACTTTAATATGACTTTAAATTATTAAAGCTGTTTTTTTTTTCTGTTAATGCAGGAATCCAGGACACCTGGAATGTCTTTGAGGTGTGTGTGTATTTACGTAACTATGAAGTAAGTTTTTAACTGTTTCCGTACAGCACGTAAAGCATAACATCAGGTATGTCTGCACTTAGAAGTAAATTTTGTTTTACTTGTTTTAAGCTCTCTTTGCTTGAAATAATGTCTAGGCAATAGATCAGTGCATTTTCTCTTATGTTTTGTCTATCCTATAAAGAAAGGTTCATTGCAAGCACTTGCTGGTTTTGTTATTAAATATGCATTGCACAGGAAAGAGTTTAGTATGAGGAAGGGGATCTATCCCGGGACTCCTCCATTCCCAGGTGAATTAACCCTGCAAGAGCGGTGCCACTGCAGCAGGAAAACAGGGAATTTCCTCCAGGGACAGCCTGCTGCCTGCAGCACACCGTGGAAGGAGGGAGATTTGGATCTGCACAACCTAGTGCTCCCAGAACCACATCCCGCTTCTGAGCAGACCCAGATTTGACTTAATACGGCCCAAAAGCCCACACCAGATGGGACAACTCCAGGTATGCTGGTGGTCCAGCTCTACTTCTGGCTTAGGCAGAAGCAATAGATATGCTAAGCTCTGTGCTGCATGGGTCATGTTTGCATCCCGTTTGAATGCTCACCACGGGGTAATCTGTGACTACCTGTGCGGTAACGCTCCGCAGGCTGCCTGTGCCATGACGCCACTGCATGAGTGGCGCGCTAAGCACAGAAAATATTAGTAAGGTTATTAATAAGAATAGGTGTGTGGTTTATTAGCTAGCCCAGTTGCAACTGTGGTAACCTCCACGGTTCTACTGGGAGGCCCTGTGTCCTTCACGGACAGTCCTGCAAAGTCCCTCTAAGAGCCACGGTTCCTCCAGCGGATGGACGGGAAATGGGGCCATGCAGCACAGACGCGAGGCTGCTCTTCCCCTTCCGAGGACGCTGCTTTGCCCAAATCTCCCTTTGCTCCATTGTGAACCAGCCCAAGGTTTAATGGTTTCCACTCCACGGGTCTGCGCTGCCACATCCACGCAGAGCACTGCCCGCTCTCAGCGGCATGACCAGGCACCTCGGTAGGGCTCCACGGTCATTTTGCGCTGCCATCCCAGATTTTTCACGTCTAGAGCCTCAAAACCCACTTCAGGTGGTGGAACCACCGCCTCGTGGCCAAGCTCCCGTCTCCCGTTTCCAGGCCGCGGTCGCCTCCCCGCTGTCCGGGAAGGGGGAGACTCGCTCTCCGGGAAGCGAGGGAGCTCGTGGGGGAGGCCGTGGAGCGCAGGGAGGTCCCGGCGCGCGGCTCCCTGCGCCGCTTTGTTGTTCTCGCCGCCCGGGCCGCGGGCAGGGGGGCGGGGAAGGGAGGCGAGGCGAGGCGGCCGCGTCTCCTCCTCCGCCTCCTCCTCGGCCCCGGCCCCGCTCATGGCGACGCTGGGCACATCCGGGCTTCTCCTCCGCCGCCGCCTCCTCCTCCTGCGGCGGCCGCCGCCGCCGCTGCTGCTGCCGCTGCCCTGAGCGCCCGGCCCGACTCCATTAGCCCGTCCCCTCCCCCCTGCCCGCCCCGTCTCCCTTCCCGGACCCAGAGGCAGGGGGAGCCCCGGGCCAGGCAGCGCCGAGCGCAAGGAGCCGCCGGGGACATGTCCAACCAAGGGGCCCGGCGCAACGGGCCCGTCAAGCTGCGACTGACAGGTGAGGGCGAGCGCGGCGGGGACCTGCGGCCGCCTCCCGCCTCCGCCGAGGGCGCGGAGCGCGAGGAAGCGCCGGGGCGGCGGCGGGGAGCGCGGCGAGGCGCGGCGGCCGTTGGCGGCGAGCGGCCTCGGCGCGGAGTTGAGATTGAACCTGGGCTTGGAGCCGCCGCTGCGGCCTCCGTGCGCGGGGCAGGGTCGTCGCTCCCCGCCCGTGCGAAGGGGCGCGGAGGGAGGAAAATGTCCGCGCCCCGCAGCGCGGGGCAGCCGCCCGGCCCGGCCCTGCCGCCCGCCCGGGCCCAGGGGTCTTGAGGCGGGGGCCGGCGGCCGCTGCCAGCGCCTCGGCGCTGCCGCCCTCAGCGCTGCAGCACCCCTCTCCTTTATCATTATTATCGTCATTATCATCGTTTCCCCGCTTCTTCTGCCCAGTGTGAACTTGAGACTGTCACACTCTTTGTTTTGATCTCTTTGTTTGTGTTTCTCCCCCCCCCTCCAAGCCGACTTCCTTAGTTAAAATCCTGTCCACCTCACTTGCGCCCATCCCTCCTCCGGGAAGGGCCCTGGACTTCTCTAATGTTTTTAGGTATCACCAGAAATCTTCACCTGCACGCTGAGAAGGGGAATAACTTATTGCTGAATCCCAGAATTATCTGCTTTTTTTCTTTACTTATATTTACCTTTATATATATATAACATATATAACATTTTATATATATATATGAACCAATAAGAACCAGGTAAATAGGTTTGGAGGATAAAATCTTGAAAATGTTGCTGGAGCTTTCATAAAAAATATAGAAGACCTAGAAGAGTGGTGAAAAATATTATAGACCCTTTCCAGCAAAACAAAACACATACTTTGTGTTCTAAGTTGTCACTGTGTGGAAGTGAGAGATTAGGAAATAATAGGTAATAGTGCTGATTTTGTTGTCTCTTCAAAATGTGTTTTAGTAGGATGGTGGTTCTGCTTGCAGAGAAGGCCTAATAAGTCTTAAAAATTTCTGAGAGTTGGTGTATTTACTTTAAGTGCATCTGAAATATTTCCAGGTAATACCTAATAAAGACCTGTTTTCTTATTTTTTTCGAAGTATGTGTGTGTATATATGTATATTTACAGGTAAAATGAGTATATATCCTTATGTTTTACTCTGGAAATATTTGGTCTAAATTTGTAATCTAGTTTTCATGGAGATTTGTGAGTGTTTATATATTGAACTTAGAAGTAAGACTCTTAAAATATGCATAGCTGGGACTGATGCATGGAGCAGTGCTGCCTTGGTTTCACTGTGTTTTGTAGCTTTCTCTTTAGGTTATTGCTTTACTTTTATTTTTCTCCTTTCAGAGTGTTCAGACTTGCTTTATCTTTGAAATGTTAAAAAAGGTCTGGAGTCTCATGTAAAAGTATGGAAAATACCTGTTTAGGGAGTTGCCTTTTTCACCTTTGGATTTCATGTTCTATATTTGTTTTATTTTCATTAAGGATTAAGGATGTAATCATCTGTCTGTGACAATATAAATATGTTATGGAGGATTATGACTATGAGGAAGAAATAAGCAGTTTTTCTTGCTGAGTTTTGGAAGCTGTGCAGTTGTGCAGTCAGCTCCAAGAAGGAGCAGACCCAGCACTAAGATGTGCTGCTGAGTTTGTGTCGTCATATATTTTAGGCAGGATATGTACAGAACACAGGATACAGACAAAATTGTCTTTACAGGGACTATTCCAGCTCCAGCAGCTGTGTGCAGTTGCCGAGAACCAGTTCTGTTTTTTTGGAAGTTTATATGCCTGTTTCTCAAGTTAAAAATACTGGAGTTTTTTTGTGCTTTGGTTAATTGCATATTGTTTCACATAAGGTCATTTGCTGTGAGGTAGTTTTACATGTTTAAGGAAAGCTGTTATAAGCAGTGAATTGAACTTTATGAATTGAACTGACATGTTGCTAGTTCTTGCCTAGAATGAATTTCAAGTGCTCTGCGTGGTTTTGATTACCCTTTTTGATTGGAAAAGCAGTGTAAGGACTCTTGAATTCTAAAACTGTTTGGAATTAAAAGAATCTATATATTGCAGTGTTTTAAAACATTTATTCTCAAACTGACAAATGTTATTTAATCTTAATTTTCTTTATGGCTTTATGGAACTCACAGTCTTATGTTCTGACTTGAGTATTAAAGGATTCCTTCAGCAATCATTGTATAATACTTATCTTTTCTGTTCATTATCTCTGAATTAGATGGTATAGATTAAAAAATGAATTTCAAGAACTGGATTCAATTAGCAGTTTTTCAGGACATAAACATTAAAGGTTTAGATGGAAAACATTGTTTTGACTGACTGGATAAATGACAGGGTAATGTTTGATGTGAGTCCAAGAACTGATCTGGAGCTAGTGCCCAACTTCTCAGTCCATCTCCAGGAGCCAAATAAAATATTTAACCTAGGCCTCGTTTTGCAAAAAAAAAAAAAAAAAAAAAAAAAAAAAAAAAAAAAAATAAAAAAAAAAAAAAAAAAAAAAAAAAAAAAAAAAAAAAAAAAAAAGGTTGGTTTTTTGTTGGGACCTTAAGAAAGTTCTGAGAAATGTTTGGCATACCTTTACACTAAGTGTTTAACAGTTTATTTAGGTCTGGGTTCCATAACAGAGAAAAAACACAGTGGTGGCATACTTGTAGTAAGTTTTTATTTAGTTTGCAGTGAGTCTGTGTTGTACATTTCTTCAAAGGTTATTCTTCTGTTTGTAGCTTTCGTCATCTGTCATAAAGAGCACTCAGACTTTTAGTCATTATCTTGAGCTAGAAAGTTGTTAGGTAATTGTTAAAATCCAAAGATTATGCCTTTAGATGAGACTTCAATTCTAGAATGAAGTGTAAGTGCACATTTCTGATAAAATACAGTGAGCATAATTTAAATTCGCTTAAGTGTAGAATTGCACTGCTCTTCAAAATTTATCTGAGTAGCTGACTTGCGTTATGGCTTCTTTGGATAATGTTCCTTCTAAGAAGAGTTCTTCTAAGAAGAGTTTCTTCAACACTGACACTTTTACTGCTGTTTTATCAGTCCTATTTTGATTATACCTGAGTTATATGAAAACTGCAAGTGCAGTCATGCTTTTCAGTTCTGTTGTGATTTTCTCAGTGTTTTATTGCACCTGTAAATATACTGGACTCTCAGATGGAACCCCCACACTGAAGACTGGGTTAATGTCATCCTTCAAAGCCTAGAAATGATCGTTGCTTTCAGTTGCTTGGTAAATATTTTATGTTTCAATCTGCGAATTAGCTGATGTTAAAATAGTTACATATGACTGCATTCGCTTAGAAACAGAGTAAATGGCAGTTACCTAAATGAAGTATGTAAAGCTTTATCAGGCCTTTAATCAAGAGATTAAAAAAAATGAGCTTGAAGTTTGCAAAACCACCGGGGAACTATTGGGTTGAATGGAGGTTAATACATGATTTAATTTAGTTTCTGTGTTACAGCTATCATTTCTGTTTAGAGCTTTGTTGGTACAGAGTGAAGAGCTGACCTGGAGAGGTGTTAGAGATGTTCCTCATGACCCCTGGCAAAGTTTGCTGGGAAAATGAAAACATTGCGTTGTTGTATTGTAGAAAATGGACACTGTCTCATCTGCTAGGTCTTATGTTGGTTTTACTGTGTATTAATTTCTTACAGTACAAAGCTGTTACCGTGGCGTGGGATTGTGGCGTTGAAGGAAGGAAGTCTGTTAGTTTTGTTGGAAGCGGGATGGAATTTTATGGATAGCAGGGCCTCACTATGGAAACAGCATCACTGATTGATTGATCAAACCGCCTACCTGTAACTTTCTTGTATCAAAGTTGTGGTTTTATAATTAACTTAAATTGCAACACAGTTTTAGACAGCTTAAAAGATAGGAGGCCTGTTTCGTTTTCATTTGTTCCTGGTCCCTGGCTTCACCTTTCTGTGCCTTGCCTTGTATTAACTCCAGCAACTGTGTAGCTGCATGAGAAGCTGAAAATTCACCTTACCAAGAAAAAGACCCTGTTTTGTACTGGGGAAAAGGAGGGATACCCAATGAAAAGTTGAAAGGAGAGCAGCACTGCTGCTTTTACCTGCAGGTAAAGTTAGACAGGCTTTAGACGACAATGAAACAATGGAGTCCCTTCGTGCAGGGTATGTTTGTCTTATTGACACGTCACTTGCTACAAACCAGTACTTAAGGAATCAAATCAATAAATTACATACTAGGTGGATTAGGTTAGCAAATCATAACAAAGTCCACAGGCACATGTCTAGCCTGTTTGTGTGGGGATTAGTTGATGCGTGGTCCTCAGTGCTGTCATCGAATTATGAGGTGTGTATGTGTGCATATAGAAGTGTTTGTATGTATTTATATACATATAAGAGAGTGGTGGATCTCAAATTGTACAGTTGTTCACAACAACTGAGCAGATGTATAGGGCAGTCTCAACTACTTGTTTCAATGGCCAGGTTTTATTCATCTAAATACAAAATCAGGTATCTGGGTTCAAGGAACATGGACCACACGCAATGGGATGTAATTGGAAGGAAAATGATCAAAAAGGATTTGGGGGAGGAAATGACAGTGGGAAAACAATTCAAGAGGAGCTTGCAATTAAAAGAGCAAAAAGGCACAGTATTTGTTCCTGGCTGTACAAACAGGAGAGCAGTAGACACTCATGTAAGGTTTTCCTTTGTAGGTAACATTGGAACACATGTAGGAGACATAGGGGATATTTGCAGTCCTGATGTTAGTTTTTCTGTTGTTTTTTTTTTTTTTCAAGTTGCTGTGTATGGGAGTAGTAAAAATCATGGGGTGGAAAAAGTGAGTAGTTTTGTAATTCTTCTTTTCAGTCAAATGTAAAGATTTTGAACTGTACTGTAATGTATGTGTAGTTGAACTAGCTGAGTAATGCCGGTGTTAGCAACACATTCTTTGCTATTTTCTTTTTTTTTCCTTTTTGTTTGTAAGTCGCTCTGAAAATGTGATCAAACCCAGGTGAAGACATTTT